CTGCAAACTCTGCCTCCCGGTTTCACGCCATTCTCCTGCCTCAGCCTCTCCAGTAGCTGGGACTACAGGCGCCCGCCACCGCGGCCCCCTATTTTTTTTTTCTTGTATTTTTAGTAGAGATGGGGTTTTACCGTGTTAGCCAGGATAGTCTCGATCTCCTGACCTCGTGATCCGCCCACCTCAGCCTCCCAAAGTGCTGGGATTACAGGCGTGAGCCACCGTGCCCGGCCAGTTTTCTCTTTTTAAATCTTGCCTGTATTTTACAAAGTTTTTACAATGTAAAAGTTATTGTTTAGAACACAATGGCCTTCCAACTTCTCATCAGCCAGTCTTGCCTATTACAATCTGCCCTCTTTCCACCTTGCCATCCTCCCACCTGCCGTTGCTGAAATTGATCTATCCATTCAGCAAATACTTATTGAATTCTAGGCACTAGGGATGCAGCAGGGACCAGGTCAAGGCTCCAGCTCTCGGCATTGCTTCCAGAGGGACTATTTAGACACCAGACAGAGTGACCTCATTCAAGACCCTCATCTTAGTCTTTCTGTGCTGTTCACCACATTGAGTCGCCCTCTCCTGCATGAAACTGCCCTCTGGATCCTCTCCTACTATTCTACCTGTTCCCCACTCTGTCCTCTTTTCTTCCCTTTTCTGTCCCCTTACCTGGGAGATGTTCCCGGAGGCTTTGTTCTGAACTCCTTCACTTCTTTCTCTATAGCAGAAGATGCCATTCACGCCCAGATTCTTAATCAGAATCTCCAGTCCTTGGCAGGTCTGAGCCAAGGCAGAGGTCTAGGATGCTGGTGATGGTGGTGAATGTTGATATTTCATTGGTTGCCCACACCACGAATGGGGGAGGCCCTTAAGATGTGGCCCCTGTGGCATCTATACTTCAGAACCAGTCTAGCATGTGTACCCCTCCAGCATGTTATTGTCCAATGACTGGATTTACTATGATCCAGGCCCCCTTGGCTTATCACAGAATCTATCTTAGAGGAATGAATGAAGGAAGGAAGGAAGGAATGGCATGATGCAATGACATTACCAGGCAGGTTTTAGGGACAGGAGCGAAGTAAATCTGGTACCTGTACCAGTGAGGGAAAGTTCAAGGAAGTGTACTCTGGGCTCCTCTGAAAGTTGTGGAGTTAGAGGCTTTATTTCATTATCACTGTGGTTGGATATTTTTCTGGCTTCTGGGCCATTTATGTCTTCTTTTGTGAACTAATTTGTTCAGATCCTGCCCAATTATTACTAATAGTACTTTCCACCCTAAGTATTAGTAATAGTTCTTTCTGTATTCATGATATTACTTTTCTCCTAACATTTTTGTATGCTTTCTGATATTGTTTCTATTGTTGACATATGCATACTTTTCATATCAATCTTGTAGTATCCTCCACAGTTATTATGCTAAAAAATCAGTCAGGTAATTACCTAGGTTTTCTTCTAATTATTTTATGACTTTATTTTTTAACGTGTAACTCTTTGCTCTGTCTGGAAGTTATTTTGGTATATGGTGTGATTTGAGGAGATAATTATTTTCCCAAACAGTTTATTAGTTGACCCAGCAAAAGTCTTTATCTTTTCTCATTGTTTTTTTTTTAATATTGCCTGATACATATTTCCATTTTTATGTGCATTAAAGATATTCATGTAATGCCATTTCATGTCCTACCTGTTTACTCCTGGACCACCCCCACACTATTTCATAAGAGTCATTTATGATGCTGTTTAGTATCTTGTAGAATGAGACTGCTAAATTTACTATCTTTTCTTAAAAAATGCATTGTGACAATCTATTTTTCCAGTTAAACTTAGGTATCATTTTGCCAAATTTAAAACAGGTCATTGGGCTTTTCATCTGAGTTGCATTAAACTTATAAATTAACTTTTCTATAACTTTGAAGAGGTTAATATCATAAATTAACCTTTCTGTATCCACTCAAGATTATGCTATGTCTCTCCAATTATTCAAATTTTTTATCCCTCTGTAAAAGTCATTTTCATATGGTGCCTGCACCTTTCTTGTTAAGTTTATGTATGTGTACTATATGCATTTTGTAGTTACCGTAAACAAGATATTTTTTCTTTATATTTTTATCTGTCATTGACATATAGGAATGTTACTGATTTTTGTGTATTATTTTGCATTTGGATAGTTTATTAAAATTTCATATTATCTCTAATAGCTTTACTATGAATTCTCCTGGGTTTTCTAGGTATATTAATGTATCATCTACAAACCATAATTTTTCTTCCTCTTTTCTCATTTCTTTTCCTTGTGTCACATGGGTTAACTCTTCCAATAAGCCGTGAAATCCCAGAGGTGATGGTGGCATCTCTGTCTTGTTCCCGATCTTAATCAGGTGTTTCACTATAAGTACAAGGTAGAGTATTGTTCTAAAATTGAAGCTTTATCATAGTAAGGAAATATTCTTTTTCTTGGTTTTGAATGCTTATTTAATCAGGGTTACACGCCTAATTTTATGAAATGCCTGTTTAGGATTTATTCAGAAGACCTTAACATTTTGTGTTTTTTTTTTGTCATTTAATGGGATACTTCGTGTTAAGAGATTTCTTAATATTAAAGTCCTTTAGAGATTAACTGTCCTTTGTCGGTTAATCCCTAAAATAGGCTTTAAAAAATTTAGTGTCGAGTCAATTTATCAGCATCATGGTGAAGAAAATGGATTTGAAGTGGACTGCTTATGTTTGAGTCCCACCTTTGTGAAACAGTGACTTGGGCCCCATTCCTTAATTTCTTTCTGCCTTAGTTCTTTGTCTGTAAAATGGAGATGATAGTAATGGTATCTCCTTATAGGGCTATTGTGAGGATTAGGCAAGTCAATATAGGTAGTTTTTAGGAGAGTGTCTAGCCAAACACCAAATAAATACAAACAATATATTAAATTATTGAGAATTTACCACATACCTGATACTGAGCTTGGGACATGGATTCAAAGATGGGAAATTCACATATGGTGTCTGCTCTCATGAAGCATTCGGCCTGGTGAGAAGACAGATACTTGTGAAACAATCATATGGAAGCATGGAGATTTATACTAAGTGCCACTAAGGAGAAGTTACGATATCATGACAGTGTATCGTAGTGGGCTTGATCTGACCAAGGAAGGACACTAGGCTGAGATCTGAAAGATGGGTATGCTAGAAGTGTTGTAGGCAAAGAGAACCACACATGCAAAGGTCCTGTGGCTCTGCAGTACGAGGGTGTGGCAAGTACAAAGGACATAAACAGGCAGGATTTGACTGGAAAACTGGTGGATATGAAGCTGGGAGGTCACTAAGGACCAGGCCATGTAGAGACCCTGGTATACTTCGAATGCTTTTTTCTTTATTGAAGAGCAAGGAGGAGCCATTGAACGTTTGGGGCAGATGGGAGGTTGGGATGACTTCACCATATTCTGCCTGCAGTGTGAAGAACAGATTGGCAAGGACCAGAGCAAATGCGGCTGACCAGTTAGGAGTGAATATGGCAGTTTAGGAATGAGTTTGGCGTGGGGTGGGGACAGATGGACATAGAGATAGAGTGGTAGATTAGCCATGGGGTTGTGAAGAAGAGGAAGCTTTTAGGTGAGCCTTACTTAGATAAAGAGATGGAGGCACGATTCCATTCATTGAGTTGTGGGGGAGGCAACAGAAGAGGAGAGAGTGGGTGGGGGGACATCGAGAGCATCCCAAAGGGGTGACGGGCCTGGCGCACAGAGGGATGACTGGCCTGGATCACAACATTGTGAGTAACCAATGCATAAGTGGGAAGTCCCTCAAATTGGAGAGAGGAGGAGAAGCCTTGGCACAGAGACTGAAAGGAGGCAGAGAAAGAGCGGGAGCAGGAAAGGAGTATGGTATTGTGGGAGGAAGCTCAGGGCACTGCTGCTCAAAATATGGTCCCATACAAGGCATCATCACATCACCAGGGAGCAAGGTGGAAAGGCAGTCTCTCCAGTCCCACCCCAGTGTCGAGCTGAATCTCCATTTGAGACAGATCCCCAGGTGATGCGTGTGCACAGTGAGGTCTGAGATGCTCTGGCCCGGAGGAGTGTTTCGGAAAGGAGGGTGAGCAACAGCAGTCAGAGGTACTGAGCAGTCATTTAACCAGAAGATGGAAAAATAGCCACCGAGCCCATGAGTAGTAGACCTGTTTGGGTGGATCGATGGGACCAGAAGGCAGAATTGACAGGGTTGGAGAGTGAGTGGGAAGTAAGGAAATGGAGACAGAAAGTATAGACAGATTGTGTTTTCTATAAATTTGGCTGTGAAGAAGAAGAGAGAGAGACACGGCTGAAGGGAGATGAGAAGTGGGGTGGGGAATTGTTTTCTTAACGATAGTCTTGAGCACATTTAAAATGAGAAGGTACTAGTGGAGAGGAAATGACTGAACACACGTTAGAGAGAAAAAGGATCGTATACTGTTCTTGAAGAGTAGGGAATGGAGTAGGGAAACCCTTCCTCCATTTAGGTGGAGGAAGAGGTGGCTCCTCTGTAGCGGGAATGAAGACAGCATGGGATAGGCTAGAAGGGTTTGGAATGGGGAAGGCAAGGGAATCCTTAGGAATGGCTTTTATTTCCTATGGAGAGTGAGGGAGAGGAGTTAGCTGAGAGCCGGGAGGTTGTAGGCGGTGGAGAAGATTTGAAATTGTCGTTCTGACATTCCATGTTGTAGAGGGGAAGTCTGAGTTCAGCCTGGTATTGGTGACTTTGTAGTTCTGACTCTCAAAACCTTAATTTTCTACTGCATAGAGTTGCTGTAAGCCTTGATTAAATGATACACAATGTATCACCTGGTCGGTACACAGCACACAGCAAGCCCACAGTCAACGTCAGTCACCCTTTGTACCTCCCTCAGTGCCAAGCACAGGGCTGGCTCATGGGAAGCGCTTGGAAAAGTGCGTTCATGATTGGCTAACACATTACGCCTGACTCTCTAGAAGCTTCTAGGAGTTATTCTGGCTATTCTGAACTGCTCTGTTTCTCTTTCCCAGGCCAGAACTGCACGTTCCAACTGCACGGTCCCAATGGGACAGTTGAGAGCCCAGGGTTCCCATATGGCTACCCCAATTACGCCAACTGCACGTGGACCATCACCGCGGAAGAGCAGCACAGGATCCAGCTTGTGTTCCAGTCCTTTGCCCTGGAAGAGGACTTTGATGTCCTGTCGGTGTTTGATGGTCCACCCCAGCCGGAGAATCTGCGTACGAGGTACCATGCTGCCTACCTTCCCTGTAGCAAACAATTGGGCTCTGAGCCAGGCTCACTAGGAGGAAGAACTTTCTTGAGTGAAAAGTTTATGGTCATCAACAAAGACCACTGTTTTCATGATGCCCTCCCTCAACCCCTCTGGTTTCCCAATTCATGTCTCTTGCTTAGAGGTTTCCAGTTGGGAGGATTGATTAGTAGGACATTTGGGAAGACTAGAGAGAAAACACAAGAGGGTTCTAGACAAATTCAGCTCTTTCTATTGAAACTGATTTTTCATGCACAGGGTGTATTATTTTTATACACAGAAATATAAGTTGGAACCAACAGATGTGGGTGTTGAAGGCTGATAGTGATGCAATGAATACGTCTTGCATCATAGTATTTGAAACCATCAACACTTTTCTGGAATTTGCTTTGCATTTGCAAGGCCTTGGTTGTGAGTGTAGACTCTGGAATTTGGGGGAGTTCCCACTCTCTTAATCCCCATCCCTGTGATGGAAGAGAACCCCATGGAGCGAGTAAGATGGCTTCCTGTACCCCTGAGGCCTCTCAAGGAGAAGAGCTCACAGGAGGGAGTCGGGAGGAAGGCTTCCACCCTCTACAGAAAAGGCAGACTTTTCTGGGGCACAGGTGAAGACCCCAGCGTCATAACTCTCTAGGTGACCCGGAGGCCAGCCAGCCTGTGTCACAAGCCTTGTCCAAGTCAGGTCAGCGTGGCTTCCCGTCTCCTCAGGAAGCCAAAGGGTTAATGGCTTACCAGCCAAGCCCTGGGGAGCCAGAGGTGCTAATTGCTTCTAATGACATGATGCACTAATGAGTGGTTCCCAGCCAAATGCTTAACCTCAAAGCTTTGTTTAAGATGCATCTCAGCCCTTGGCTTCCAAGCTCCTGCAGCAGGGTCTCACACACACATTTACTGCACAGTCTTCAGCCCTCTTCTCTTTCTCCTCAGGGCAGAAGTGAGTCTGGGAAGCCTACAGCAGAGGTGGGGGGCATCTGGGCCCCCCCTGCACCCCTCCTGCAGTTTCTCCCAGAAAAGACTGGGCTAATCATCTTCCCTTGAGGTTCAGCAGGGTTCTGTGAAACATTGGTAAAGGGCTAGAGTCCTCTTCATTCATTCATTCCACAAATATTTCATGGGTACCTATTATGTCTTGACACTGGCCTGGATGCTGGGGAATAGCAGTGAGAAAAACAAAGCCACTGCCTTCATGCAGTGGCTACATGCTAATGGGGAGGGAGATATGGAAATATATAACATGTCTGGTTCTGTGAAGACAAAGCACACAGGGTAAGAAAGTGATGGCAGGAGTGCTGGCTTTATTATTGTTATTACTATTTTTGTTATACTTTAAGTTCTGGGGTACATGTGCAGAACATGCAGGCTTGTTACATAAGTGTACAAGTGCCATGGTGGTTTTCTGCACCCATCAACCAGTCATCTACATTAGGTATTTCTCCTAATATCCCTCCCCTAACCCCCCAACCCCCCGACAGGCCCCGGTGTGTGATGTTCCCCTCCCTGTGTCCATGTGTTCTCATTGTTCAACTCCCACTTGTGAGTGAGAATATGCTGTGTTTGGTTTTCTGTTCCTGTGTAAGTTTGCTGAGAATGATGGTTTCCAGCTTCATCCATGTCCCTGCAAAGGACATGAACTCATCCTTTTTTATGGCTGTGATTGCTGGTTTTTATAGGGTGGTCAGGGATGGTTTTTCCGAGCGGAAAGAGAGCTATGAGCAGAGAGCTGAATCATGGAATATCATGTATGGTGGGTATCCCGTATAGGTATCTAGGGAAAGCTTCTAGGCCAAGGGCACAGGAAATGTAAAGGGTACAGGGCCAACCTTTGGAGGATGGTCTTGCTGTGGCACAGTCCACTCAGGCCAAGCCAACCATGTTGACTAGGAAGACCTGCAGTTTTGGAATCCTCATTCTAGATCATCCCAGGTGTTGTCCTTATGCTGTGCTAGTTTGAATTCCTCTCACAAGCAAAGGAGGGTATGCAGGAGGCCAGTGGTTACAGGCTAGAGCAAGCCAGTGGGTAGGAGTTATGGAAGGGAAAAGGTGAGGCTGGGAGGTGGCAGAAGGTGGTAGATCCTGCAGGGCCTCATGGGTCACATAGGGACTTTGGCCTTGATCCTGAGGCACAGGAAACCCTTGGAGGGTTCTGAGCAGAAGAGGGACCTGCTGTGACAGGCCTTTGCCATTGTAGGGAAAATGGAGTGAAAGGGGTGAGGCTGGAGGCTGCTGCTCAGGGCAGAGAAGGAGGCTTGGGTCTCCTGGAAGTGGGGACATGATGACAAATGGTCAGATATGTGCTGTATTCCAAACACAGAGCAGACAGGATTTGTTGTTGCGTTGGGTGTGGGCTGTGGGAGAAAGGAGATGAGGATGATTCCAGTCTCCTTGGCTTTAATGATTATAGGAAGAAGTAGCTGTTTCCTGAGAGGAGGAGCTGGAAGTTAAGATTCAGTTTGGCCGTATAAAATTTTAGATGTCTGTTAGATATCCAGGTGGAGAAGGCATTGAACATGCACTTGAATATGTGGGTTTTGAGTTCAAGGGTGTCAGGGCTAGAGATACAAATTTGGGAGACTAGGACTGGATGGTACCTAAAACATAAGACTGGATGTGGTCACAAGGGAGCCAGTCTTCTCCATCGGATTTTGGGCTCATGATGTTGAATGCATGTTTGAAAGATAGAATGTCAGATCAGATCAATGGGGCACTGATTGAGGTGTGGACAGCTAGAGGCAAACTCTCCAATTCTGCCTGCTAGAGTTATTTAAGCTTGTCCTGCTCTTAAGGCAGGGTCCCCGCATATGTAGTGGAGTCTTTGTTTTCTGACACTTGGGTTTTCTGACTCTGAGGGGAAGTATGGAAGACTCAGCAGAGTGGAGACTGGCCTGGCCGGTGTTCTAGCATGGAAGGGTGGGAGTTTCCATGACCTGGTGAAGTGGTTCTGGCAGGGAGGCTTCCTCTTGTCCTAAGGATGCAGAAGAATCAGATGTGTCCCCAGCCACAGCACAGCGTTCCTGGCCAACCAGCCATGAGCATGAAGCTCTGGGGTTGAACCTTCATTAGGTTGTCCCTGTTTGTGCTCCTGATCTCTGTCATCTTTGTGATTTGCTTATTCTAATTCATTTCACAAGGTCACACAGGCTTAGCAAAGGGGAAGGGCTAGAAGGAGACCACTGCCTTTTATTCACCTGGAACCAGAGGAGCTCACACCCCGGAGGACGATAGGAGGGGAAATGACCTTAGAGGACAGTCCAAGTAACATTGGAAGATGCTGTCCTTAATACTGGAATGGTGCTGCTCTGGGGGTGTGGAGAGGCAGCAGCAAGCATGCTTGGTGGGGACCCTTGGGTCTTTGTGAATTTTTTTTTTAATGTTCTTGCATGGTTTTTAGTCCACTCAAATTTTTTTTATTCACGAATCAGTTTTTGTCTGTGTGTTAGTCCAGGGAATCACCAATAAAATCACCTATTTTATTGAGAGTGTCAAGTCTATTATCCTAGGGTTGTACATAGTTTTCCCACTCAACCTTTCTTTCTCCATGGTGTCTGGGTCACATCCCTTTCTCACATCTGCTCCTGTGCATTTCTTTCTTTCTTTTTTTTTTTTTCCACTCAGTTAGTCTTGCCAGAAGTTTGCCTATTTTATTGGTCTTTTTAAAGTTCCAATGCTAGGGCAATCCATTTTATTCTCTTTTATCTAAATTATTGATTTCTGCTTTTATCTTTATCCATTCTTTTCTCTCACTTTCCTTAGGCTAATATTGCTCTTTTGCCAATTTTGTAAATTAAATTGGTTTTATTATTTCTTGTTTGATAATAAAAACATTAAGAGGCATTTTCCCCTAAGTACAGCTTTGACCATATTCCATAAATTTTTATGGCTAGTTGTTAGTTTAGAAAGAGTTTCTAATTGCAGTTTTGTTCTTTCTTTGACTCTAGGGTTTTCCCCTTAAATTTTCAAGTAATATTTGTTTATACTTTAGAAATTATTATCTAGCTTTATTTCATTATGATTAGATTATGATTTCTACTTTGGAGAATTTGTTGACTTGTTTCCCTCTGTATAAGATCATTTTTGTCAGTATTCTATGAAGAAAGATATTCTGTGTATGAAGGGTGAAAAAATTAAGTTATTAATATCATTCAGTTTTTCTAATTTCGTATCTATTGCCTAATTGATATTTGCCAAGATAGGCAATATATTGCTCTCACATTCTTACTGTAGTTTATATCAATTTCTCTTTTTATTCCTGAGTTTTTATTTTATAAACTGTGATTCTATACTCTTCAGCATATTCATATTTTCAAATGTTAGATCTTCAGAGTGAATTATATATATATTTCCAATATAAAAATTGTAGTTATTCCCTATTCTCTACTGTTTTTTTCTTTTTTTCTTTTTTGCTTTACATTCTACTTTGTACCAATATTACACCCTTTTTTTCTTTCAGATATGCATTGATTGGGTCCATCTTTGCCAATTTCACTGTTTTTAATATGTCTATATTATTCTTTTAGGAATAGCTCTTAGCACAATATACATAGTCATTGAATTTTTTAAAAATAGTGACTGAGAATCACTATCCTTTAACAGCAAAGTTTAGTTCACTCATATTTTTTGGTAACAACTGATATGTTTGCTCTTCTATTATACTTAATGCTTTCTATTATTTTTAAGCTTCCTTACTGTTGCTTCCTTTTATCTGTCTTCTAGTGCAAGTTTTCTTTGTTTTTTTTTTTTTCCTGTGATTTTTATTCTATTAGTGCTCAAAGTTGCTTCTTTACAACATGTTTTAAGCTATATTTTTCTGTCAACATCCTGCCTAGCTAGGTTTTGTCTTAGTTAGGTCTTACTATCTTGTAAAAATTTCTTTGTGTTTGCAGGATGTAGGTATCTATCTCTTTTTCTTAGTTTCCAAAGTTAATTGTAGATATTCCATCTCTTTATATACTTTAGATCATCTTCGTGAGAATATAGG